CTAGAACTTTTGAAAAGCTCCTCAGGACATCTAATTTTTATTTTTTCCAAAAATTTTACTTTTTTGAATTTTTTGAAAAAATGGTTTTTCTGCGTAATTTTGCAACACTTTTTTTTTCTTCTCAGGAACACTAGAACTTTTGAAAAGGTCCTCAGGACACTTTTAATTTTTATTTATTTTTTTTTCAAAATTTTACGACTATTCGAAAGAAAATGTTTTTTTCGGTGGGAACAAATGCACAATACCAACAAATATCGAATTAAAAAAAAAAGAATAGGATCGATTTTTTGGAAAACAACAACTACAACAATTATTAAAGGTCAAAGTTCAAATTAAGCATTTTCTTAAATTAATATTTCTCGAAAACCTCTTCAAGGAATTGGACAATTTTGATGTCATTTGATAGAGAATTTAATTCTCTTTAATTTGATATACATATTTATACATATACCTTTTTATAGTTTTCACAAAAATCGAATTAATGTGGAAAAAAGTATATAGGGTTTTTGTGTATAAACTTCTTTTTCGTAGGCGGCATTCGGCCGCACTTATGGATTATAACCCTCACAAAGTAGAATTCTCTTTCTGTGTTGCGAAGAAAAGGCGCTGAACACTTTTGCAGAGAACACCTTTCTGCGTAGGCGGCCTTCGGTCGCACTTATGGATTATAACCCTCACAAAGTAGAATTCTTTTCTGTGTTGCGAAGAAAAGGCACTGAACACCTTTTGCAGAGAACACCTTTCTGCGTAGGCGGCCTTCGGCCGCGCTTATGGATTATAACCCTCACAAAGTAGAATTCCACATTAATTATATTTTTGTGAATACTATAAAAGATATATGTATAAATATGTATATCAAATTAAGGAGAATTAAATTCTCTATCAAATTTTCCCAATCATTGGAGGGGTTCTCGAGAAATATTAATTAAAAAACATGCTTAATTTGAATTTTGACTTTTAATAATTGTTGTAGTTGTTGTTTCCCAAAAAAAATATATGTATCGTTACGTTCACCTCAATGATCTCCATCGATCCCAATATGATTTTTTTTAATTTGAGAATTGTAGGTATTCTACATTTATGCCCACTTAATTTTTATTTTTTCTAAAATTTTACTTCCTTGAATTTTTCGAAAAAATGGTTTTTCGGCGTAATTTTGCAGAACTTTATTTTTCCTTCTCAGAAACTCTAGAACTTTTGAAAAGCTACTCAGAACTGTTTTAATTTTTATTTTTTTTCGTAAATTTAAGTTTTTCGACGTTTTCGAAAAAAGTGTTTTTTTTTGGCGTAATTTTGCAGAACTATCCTTTTCCTTCTCAGGAACTCTAGAACTTTTGAAAAGACACTCAGAACAGTTTTTTATTTGCCTATTTGCCACATGTCATATTCTGCGTGAATCTGGCATACACAATTTTCAAAGCAATTTTTTTGTCAAAATATCCAGAATTTTTCTTTTTAAGAACTCTAGAACTATTGGAAGGCTACTCAGAACAACTTTATTTTTGTCGTTTTGTGTCATACCGTATGCCAACTTAACAGACATGCCAAGGTTCGTATCTGCGAATGTGCATACTTACATATGCACGCATTAAGAATCATTCGTTGTTACCTTCTCAGCTCGAAATTCCCAAATTCTACCTGCACATTTTGATCACTTTCTCATAATTTTCTGGCGGTCAGATCATTGCATACGTACTAGAGGGCTGCATGAATGAATTCAAAACAGCTTATGAATTATTCATATGCAAAACGAATGAATGATTGTGGCTTAAAATTTTTTAGAATTGGAGTGAATAGCTGTTCAGATATTTGTGTCGACATTACAATATTCAAACAAAGTGAAAATAAATTGAATTGAAATAAATGACAATTTTTTGTATGAATATTCAAAAATATTTTTTCTATGCACATATGTACAAACATACATATGGGTGTTTCCATGAAAATGTCAACCAGGACTGAAAAAATAAAAACAACTGAAAAGGGGTTTTAAGACGAATTAATAAGAGAAAAATACTCGAATTTTTATATTATAGAAGTATTTCAGCTTATTGGAATTGTAAAACTCAAAAATGGAAGAATAAAACTGAATCTCCCTTCGACTCAGGTTTCTCTAATGAAATGAACTATTTTCTCTTTCCTATTACCTAAATTAAGAGATTTGAAACATTACAATTACATCTTAAAATCAAGTTTGCAATAACAACTAACTATAAAAATGAGAAAAAGGAGAAGTTAGAGCTCGAATAACGGTATTTTTTTGATTTGCTTCTGATAGTATTCTAATGTCGCGTACGTTATGCAAAAACATTGTTTGTCTATGTCATTTGTATATTGGCAGTCGCAGGTAATGCAGATTACAATTCTTAAGCGAGGATTCTTCCAGTTAAAGATATACAGTAAAATTTTCTTTCCAACCGAAGTAAAAAAAAATTTATTACCCTTTAAAGTTTGTCGCATACGTTATTGTAAGTACGAAAATTTCAATCAAATACATCAAAACCAATGTTAATTGCAAATTTTCCATTTAAATTATTTAGAATAGTTGTAAAACAACTAAACGGTGGCGAGAAGAGTTAAAAGAAAATGAAGCAAAGCTAAAAGAGAACCAAAAAAAAGAAGGTTGAAAGACAGCGGGCCTATCGAAAAAGGGAAGGCAGATGCGGCAAAAGAAGACGCCTTATTACTTCAGGAAAAAACGCGTTATGTCGCGTACGTTATTGTTTTTTTTTTAATATAAAACTAGCCAGAGATAATTTCTCTTAAAATATGAAAGGATTGTAAGGGTACATTATTTAGCTTAGTACAGGAATTTTTAAAGAAAAGAAAAACTCCCTTGATTCACAGACTTTCGCATATATGCGTGTTTCCATGAAAATGTAAACCGAAAATGCAAGCAAATGAATTCAAACGGCTTTATAACTTTAAATTTCGTATTCAGATAGCGGAAAAAGGTTTTGAAAACGCGAGAGAAGAACTGAAAAAATTTAATTTAGTATGTGTTACTAGTAAAAATATTGTATGGGGGAAAAATCTGTCGCGTACGTTATGTCGCGTACGTTATTATATTTTTTTTTAATAAAAACTAACCAGAGATAATTTCTATCAAAAAATGGAAGGATTGTAAAGGTACATTATTTAGCTTAGTTTAGGAATTTTTAAAGAAAAGAAAAACTCATGATTCGCAGACTTTCGCATATATGCATATGTGCCTTAAAAAAACTTATTTTTTTGTCGCGTATGTTATCACCTTGTTTTGAACGGATATTTTCCACACCAAAGTTTCGTGGCTGCTTATTTTTTTCTCAAACATAGTACCCTTTGGTTGCAACATAACCGTAATCTTTTTTTTCAGTAACTTCTATTTTTGATAGATTTACGTTACTCTATAAGCGTACGAATGTCGCGTACGGCTGTATGGAAACACCCATATGTATATATGTATGTATTGCTGCGCTCCTATTACATACGAAAAAACTTGTTTGTAAAAGAAAACTTTTACCGAAATGAGTTTGAATGATTTGAATGTTTTCCATTCAGTCATTCACATTCTTCCATTTGAAGGTAGAAAATTGAAAACAAAATGTATATTCATAACTTACAAAATTCCAAACGCTGAGTGTTTTGTATGTGAAGTAAAATATTCAAATCTACTATACTCTGTTTGGCTAGAAGTTTGAATCAATTCGTGCAGCCCTCTAATACGTACATATGTACATTAGACTGCATCACTCCCCATAAAAAAAAAAAATCGGTACTATTTTTCCACTGGAATTATAAAATCTATTATATTTTAAGACGTCCACCAAAATATTTCGGAAAAATATTAAGATTTAAGTGAGCTGGACCGATTTGAAAATGCCTCCAAAAATGGAGTTTTTTATGAATAAAAATAGTTTCTTAAAGATTTTTTTTTGAAAAAAGACCCTCAAATGACAAAACGGCTTAAGCTTAAAATATTTGCAGAAAAATAAAAAATAAAATTAAAAAAAATTTTGAACGGAATCGTAATGAGATTTTTGATGCTGTTTTTTAACTTTTTTCAAAGATTGGTATAAGAAAAACTTGAATAACTGAACCTAAACTCTTCCGATTTAGACTTGACAGGTGTCAATGGAAAGGTATTTTCTCAGCCTTTTTATTTCTTTGCTAATTCAAAGGGTGGAAGAGAAAAGTAGGAGGAACGAACGTCATTCAAAGTTGAATTAAGATGTGTTGGTACTCGAAGAAAAAAGATGGGACACGAATGACGTTTTTTGGCAAGAAATAAAAACAGTGTACAAATACCTTTCTACTGAGATCCCATAAGTCTAAATCAGAACATTTTTGGCCCAGTTATTCAAGTTTTTCGTAAATCAATCTTTGAAAAAGTAAAAAAACAGCATCAAAAATCTCATTCTTACGATTCCGTTGAAAATATTTTTAAATATTTTTATGCAGATTTTTTTAACCTTAATCTAATTTGGCATCTGAAGGGACTTTTTTCAAAAAGTTCTTTAAGAAACTATTTTTATTCATAAAAAACTTCATTTTTGGAGTTATTTTCAAATCGGTCCAGCTCACTTAAATCTTAATATTTTTACGAAATATTTTGGTGGACGTCTTAAAATATAATAAATTTTGTAATCCCGGCGGAAAAACCGCAACTTTTTTTTGTGATGCAGTCTAATGTACATGGTTCTTCACATTCTTACATACATACGTACGTGTTGTTGTAATTTCTCACACTATGGCTGACTTCCAAAACGTCAATTGCATTGCATACGTACAAAGTTTAATGTTCCATAACGCCGAACTACAATTGGTTGACAATGTATACTTTTCCAAAACCCATCCGAAAAGTTATCGAACCGCATCGCTAGCGCAATCAGCGCATCAGAAACAAAGTTGATGCTTCGTTTGTTATTGGTTACCATTGGTGTTTTAAAAATGCAAAATTCCGAAATGGTGATTATTGTTTTATTAAATATTCCAAATATGCAATGTATATGGTTGCAATGTTTCGCTACTCTGCATATGCAACGAGTTTAAATACCGCAGTAGAGCAGTATCCAAACATTGTATTGGTACGTTTTGGAAGTCAGCCTATTTCTGCTTTCACTGCTCTTTCTGCATTGATCTGCTTAGACAAAGCGAACTACATTCTACTCGCACGCATCGCAAGAGCCACGCTCCCCTACTCTCTTTAATTTTTGATCTGCGTTTCACAGAACGGACAAAGATACATTATTATTATTGTTGGAGATAAAGGGTGAACACACCAAAACTGCGACACTATGGGAAGCTTATAACTTACCCAAAACGAATTCAATATTTTGTAATTCAAATACCATAAGCTGACNACGAAAAAAATTCATATATAAAAATTCAAAATATATTGCAGGTCAAGATTTTTATACTGGTGCAAGTCGTCAAGATGCCCCTGAAAGTTGTAAGCTGAAAATGAAGTCCAAATTTCCAAAAAAAACACATGGTTTGGCAAGCTATTTGATCCTGTGGCCGTAAGAGCAGCCCTTTTTTCCCATCCGGGACAATGAATGATCAAGTTTATCGGGATGAGTGCCTCAAAAGGCGTCTTCTGTCATTTATCAACAGATAAGGAGTAGGCCACGGTTCTAGGCGGACGTGGGAACCTGCCACTATGCCAAGGACACATTGCCGTGGTATAATGCAAATAACATCAATTTTGTACCTCACGACTGCAATCCACCCAATATCCCAGAGCCACGTCCTATTGGGGAATATTGATCAATCGTCAAAGAAATCTTGCAGAAAACAGGTGAAACAGTGAAAAATATTGAAGAGTGCAAAACAAAGTAGTTGTGCGCATCGCGTAAAGTCGATGATGCAGTCGTGCAGAACATGATGGCGCGTGTGCGATGAAAATACCGATCACTTGCATATGGAGCAAATAACAACTAATATTTTAACATTTTAATAACATCTAAACTTCCAAGTTATATAATACAAAAAATAATAATTTCAAAGCCTGCTAGTTTGTTTCTGGTAGTAATTTCTAAGTGTCGCAGTTTTGGTGTGTTCACCCTTTAAATCAGTGCGACCTTAAATTTCGGGCACCCGAAGTTTATTAATTCATACATACGTATGTATGTATATTTATGCAAATACATACATATTTCCATTATTAGCGACAGATCTGAAGAATTTTTCTGTACATCCAAAGCTTAATACCAGTATTCATAATTAAGCTTTTCGAGAAAGCTCATAAATGCCACTTGAAAAAGGCGTTAAATACTCATCCCAGATTCCCATAAAGGCGTATTCTCCTAAACACACGAGAAATACAAAAATCTCACCTACATCTCAGAAACAAAATTACTAAAAACCCGTGGATATTAAAATTTAAAAATGAAGTTAACAAATTAACCAATTATTGCACTCTATTCTCTTTTTCCCCCATCGAGGAGAACTCTGAACTGAAACTCGAAACAAAGATCAAAAATCTCGATAGGTGCTAAGAGCGGCTTCAAACGGCATTTGACTTGCTTGACATCCTATACGGAGATCTTCCCGATATCCTTTTTGTAAAAAAATGCCAAAGGTTTAAAAACCTCCGTTCTCAAAACTCATACAAGAAAATAATATGTGCCTTGCTTCCTCTCATAGCATGGTTGAGTGCAAATCACGATATACGTGCAACTATTGCCGCAAACGGCATAACTCGCTACTACATGTCCACTCACTCAAAGGCCAATCCCAAAAGGCCAGGAAAAAGGAAAATGCCAAGAAATCGATTACTCCAAATCAATATATGTCTGTATTGGGTGGCCGTCCCCAAAGGACCACCGTCTCAAATGATAAAACTCAAGTGACCTCCCATGATCACCACTCAAGCACTAGCCATTCTCAAAAGGTTACCACTCGAAATTCCATACCGTATCCGTTCACCTCCGATCAAAAGGTACAACCAACTAACCGGCACAAAACGACTTTCGCTCAGAATGCGAAAATCCATGTGACCACCATATGGCCAAACCGTCCCTACAGATCGGGATCCACTCGTACGCTCCAAGGATGTTACTACTAACTCACATGCGATTAAGAAAGTCCATCAAGAATTCGTGGTCAACCGCAAAAATCAACTACTCAAAGGTGTAAGGCGAAAGTCATCACAACCGATCGAAAAACCCAATCGCACATGGAAAACGACGAGTAACCCTTCTGCACAAAATACGCCAATCAAAAATCTCTGGCTATGTGCAAAGAATCGCAAAGTCCTAACCTTAACCCCAAGCTCAACTCTACTTACAGAGCACTCGCCTCTACCTATTGAATATTATCTTATATCTCAAAAGGATTATTAAAAAATACAGCACCTTCTTCTGTATTCTTCTTGATGTCCTTTCATTTCAGGGAACGGGCATCATACTCTGCACAACGGGAATAAAGCAGAGGCTATACAGGACACGCGACAAATCCAACACGTCCCACCAACCCTGCGTAACAGCATTGTTCTTCACTCTGAACTGTAGAAGAGGGATCATCCGAAGACTACAGACTGCAGAATGCACTATGCAGTACATTCCTGCAGGGCCCCCAGGATGTTGAAGATTATGCCTCATTCTCAGTTAAGGCGCACCCTAATGCTCGCCTTAGGAGTTGACGTTGCTACTAGTAAGCAGGCCTATGTGCATGCGCCTAATACGCACTCAAATTTATACAGTCCACCCAAGCGCACGTTTATCTCGTTGTTCGAATAAGGGAACGTATCCATACTACGTGACAGGGATGGGCATTTTTGAATGAATTATTATTCAAATAAAAAATAAAATTGCTTGAATGACGAATAAATTTGTATTCTTCATTCAAGCACTTTCGAATGATGAATAAATTTTTATTCATTATTCAAGTAATTTCAAATAACGAATAAATTTTTATTCATCATTCAAGTAATTTAGAATGATGAATAAATTTTTATTTTTTTTATTCATCATTCAAGTAATTTCAAATAAGAATAAATTTTTATTCTTCATTCAAGCACTTTCGAATGATGAATAAATTTTTATTCATCATTCAAGTAATTTCAAATAACGAACAAATTTTTATTCTTCATTCAAGTAATACTGAATTACGCATAACTTTTCATTTATTCATTCTTTCTTGATCACATTACCAGGTAGACAGTCATGGTAAATGTTCATGTCGTATATACATATTAATTGTGTATGAAATATTAGAAAATATAATATCAAAGTCTACATATGTATGTATGCATATAAGCATGAACATAAGTATGTACTTATTCAATTATCTATATATGTACATATGTACATATATAAAACGTGAAGGGATTTTTTGTCCAGGTCACCAGATCTGCACCGTGCATTCGATTTTAAAAAATGAGGTGTCAAATGAAAGGGCTCGGGCTGTAAAAGTGCTGTAAGGTTTTACTTTTTCGAAAACGGTTGCCACCTTTCAAAAAATTTAATTACAAATTTAAAAAAATGAATTAAATAATTAGTACAATATGGGTACCAATCTAAATGGTTTTGAAAAGGGTTTATTTTTTTATTACATACAAGGGGTTGCCACCTGTTTAAAAAAAATCAAATTCAATTTCAATTATGGAAACTAGATAGGTGAAATATTCATCACCCTATGGGCGTCGGGCGGAAGAGGTTTAAGGAGGTTTTAGTTTGGAAATATTTTAAGAAGGGTTGTCACCTAATTTAAAAATTGAAAGTAATTAAATTATGCAGAAGTTACTTAAATATGTGAAATATTAAAACATGGGTGTCAAGCAAAAGTGAGTTGAGAGCTTTGAGCATCCAGACTATTTATGTGGTTTTTAAAAAGGGTTCCCACCTGTTTTAAATGTTTAAATCAAATTAAATTAATAAAAGATGGATATCAGCCGAAATAATTTTCAAAAAGGTTTATTTCTAATCTACATGCACTAGGGCTGCCACCTGTTCAAAATATCAGGTTTAAGGTGAATTAAAGCACATTGGGTAATGAAATTATATATAAGTGTCAGACGATAGAGGTCTAAGAACGTTTCAGTTTAAAAATATTTTCAAGAGTGTTGCCACGTAATTGAAGTGGAATTTAATTCAAATATACACAAGCTGTATGAAATAACAATATATGGGTGCTAAACTAAAGAGCGTTAAGAAATCTTTAGAATATTTGTGAGGCGTTTGACGAGGATTGCCACCTGTTTGAAAATATTCAAATTAATTACTTATATTTTAAATGCATTTTGATTTGTGATTTTTTAGCTAAATAATATTCTTTTAGGCAACGCAACTACTTCGGGATTTTTGTGGCTATTTCGGGTTTTTTGGGACTATTTCGATATTCTCGGGGTTCTCGGGAATATATCGGGATTTTTGGGACCAATTCCGTATTTTGTGACTATTTCGAGTTTTGCGAGGCTTCCTCGAGATTTTCTCTCGGGGGTTCTCGGGTTTTTGGACTATTTCGGGATTTCCGAGAATTCTCCGGGATTTTCTGGACTATTTCGGGTTTTTCGAGACAACTTTTGGGACCAATTCGGATTTTTTGGTACCATTTCGGGTTTTTCGAGATTTTCGGGGTTCTCGGGGCTATTTCGGGATCTTAGGGATTTTAAGGACCATTTCGGAATTTTTGGGACTATTTCGGGTTTTTGGAAACTCATTCGAGATTTTGGGGTTCTCGAAAATATATCGGGATTTTTGGGACTATTTCGGTATTTTTGAACTATTTCAGGTTTTCAGGACTATTCCGGGTTTTTCGAGATTTTAGGGGCTATTTCGGGGTCTTAGGGATTTTTGGGCGCAATTCGGAATTTTTGGGACTATTTCGGGTTTGACGAAACTACTTCGAGATTTTCGGGGTTCTCGGGATTATATCGGGACTTTTGGGATTTTTTGTTTATATTTTTGTACTATTTCGGGATTTTCAGGACTATTCCGGGTTTTTCGAGACTACTTCGAGATTTTCGGCGGGTTCGGGTTTATATCGGTATCTTCGGGACCACTTCGGGATTTTTGGGCTATTCCGGA